TGGAGGTCCAGCTTGGTGAAGAGGTCATTTATATCAACATTTATGTGATAATTCGTATAGCGGTATGGTTCTAAACTTTCTTTGCACTGAGAGGCGTTGGATTGTCAAGGTGATTAACTGTTCAAGAACGTGTTTAGATAAGTCTTATTAAGATTTATTATGCACAGTAGAATGAATCAACTGAATAAGGTCATTTATCTACATCATTGTTAACCAGATAACAAACAATGTAATTTGTTCATCGTTCAACAGAAAAGTCTAATTTAATCGTCTTTCCTGTAGCGCCTGGTGAAATAACAAGCCTGATGTCTGTGATCCTGAGCAGTGTGACTCTTGTTCTCACTAAGGTCATCATTGGCCTTGTTGTCAAAATGAGGCAACTTCAGACAGGTAATGTTTGAGGGCTGTCCTCTGATATGTTTATGTTGCTTTTGCACATCATCTTGCCAATATGCTGTTATTACAGTCAAGTAATAAGCTTTCAGATTTGTGTAGTGGGACAACGGTGTGGATTTGTGCATTTTATATTGAATAAATTTGGAGCTACTCCAAATTTCTCTCTTCTCCCAGAGAAGAGTGGGGGTGTTCAACAAACTTCAACAGACTGCTGGGGAGACCCCAACGGAAGGGAAGTTGCTTTCTCTAAGTGCTATCCCTGACCATAAAACTGGCACCTTTTTGATTCCGAAGCTGATAACGCGGGGCCTGACTGTTAAACTGACAAAGGGACATGAAACAGCGATTAGCATTTCTTATCAAAACTCCTCCCCCACCCCCCCCCCACACACACACACATAACTGTGGCAACTGACCTTGCTCTGTGTTTCATTACCACATCAAAGGGATATAACTGTCTCACCCAAGTTGTGACATAACCCAGGAAGCCGAACTTTATATAACCAAAGACTGGAGTCTCCAAAGACTCAAAGCATTTAATTAAGTTTAATTAAATCTTTTAGTTACTTGATTGCATTTGCCTCTATTTGAGTAGTTATGTTAACATGTTGTTGCTATCTGTTGTTGATATTAGTGCTGAAAAGAATTTAAATAAGTTACTTTTGCCGTGTTTTTATTTTCAGCAAGACACTCCCTCATCAACGTAATCAATGTTTGTTCATAATACTTTCCTACAAAATTCCTTTAGAAATGTTTTACTATACTCTTAATCACCAGCTTGAATTTAAGGATGAATAACTAAATCCCCTGGTTCCTAAGGAGAGATGATCTTGGATTAATCTAAGCTTTCCTCATGTAACCTGAGCTCCCCCAAGTGGACAAAATAACTATTACATGCCCTGGTTGGAAATGCCGTTAAATGTATAAATATCCTGACCAATAATGTGACAATTGTTTCTTGTTACCAAATGCCTAGAACAGTACAACCGTCTGACCATTGAGGTTCGGTTGTGGAAAATATTTGATTATAATACGCGCAAATAGATTTTCTTTTCTTTCAGACATTAAGTTTAGAAAGGCAGTCCCTCGGGAAACCTGAAACGCCCTCTGGGGAACCACGCCCCAGGCAACAAAAAAGCGACACGCGACGTTGGTTGTTCTCTACTCTTCTGTTCTCTTCTCTGCTCTCTCCCTCTCAGCTCTCTGCTCTCTGGCAACGCCTTAAGAGTCGGCCAGCGCAACCAGCCTTTTGTTCGCTAGAAGCTACACACGCGAAGTGCCGCGACACCGATCTGCCCCTCAGTTTGTTTTATTTTCTTTCTTTCTTTTGTTTTGTTAAAGTTATCAGTCCGTGAAGTTACACTGGACTAATTCAGGAACAACCAAGTTCCATTTTTTCGTCGAGCCAATTTCACCGAGGTCAGACCAAGCCACGTGGTCTCGCCAGCGGCAACGAAGGAAACCTGAAAACAGCCGAATTGCCAGACGGAGGACGACGTTTTCTTCAGTCAGACACAGAGAACCCCGGAGGATGACTAGCAAAAAGCCAGGATCGGCAGCTAGCGTGGGACCCGTGCAACAGGCCAAAGCAGGCAGACAAGCCATAAGACCTAACACACATTCTGTGGTCAGAGACGTACCGAAATGTTAATATTTCCTTTTAACTCCTAAATTCATAGCTTACTTTCATTAGTTCTCCTATGCCGTATGAGTCAAATGCTTCCCACAATCAAACCTCCAGGCTCATTGTGCCGCCATTGTTTATTTACCCTTTTATATCACATTAGTTAGAGAATAAATTCACTGTAATATAATCAAGAACTGTGTGTGTTGCCTATGTCTAAGTCCCTGCCAACAGAATTGACCCTTTAGATATGAGACTGACTGACTGATTTAAGATAATTGAGCGATTATTAACTGAGTGATCACTAGTAATAATTGTATAATTATTAAAAGCTACCTAGAGGTCCGGAGACTCTAGGATTATAACAATTCCGGTGGTGCCCTTAACAAGGAAATTTTGATTTTATGAATATTAATTCATAATTGGGTATCAATTCTCATAAATTTATTAAAATTCATAACTAAATTAGCCATGCTACATTTGTAATAGACATGTATTAAGACCAGTTTACATAAATAAGCCACAAAACAATAAGTGAATCCATGTTTTAAGATGTACTTTCTTATGTTCTATAGTTTACAAGCCAATTAGATCACTTCGCCTCTCAGTCATTTTGTTATTTAGGGTAAGCTCATATATGTGAAAATTGTCTGTCTCTAATTTTCAGCATCTGAACTCTGAAAGAAGCAGCTTTGATTTTCTGTCCAAAAACAAGAAAGAAATGGAAACTCAGCATTATTAATCCAGATGATCCAGAACTGTCACACTGCATTCTGTATCACATTCATGGATGGACATCCCACAAAAACCAGACATTTCAGTCATCAGGGGCTCCATATTACAGCAGGATTGTTAGAAATACAAACTCACTGGATCTTTATAGAGAGTCAGAAAAAATGGCTGCAGACAATCTGCTATCACCGAGAATGATTTCTGCACAGAAGACATTTATATAACAACACTGTTTATTTATTACTGCAATGTTGCCTCTGGCCACCAGTGGCAGCATCGAGCACAGAGGTGCTAAGCAGCACTCCAGGTGATGAGTGAGATGATGTATAAAATTTAATGTCAGAGAACTTTCCTGGTCAGCGTGTTTTTTATTACTTCACACCCTATTGTCTCTCTTGTCACAGAACAAATTGGATTTTGTAATAATGGTTAGGTATTTATGCAAAAAATTAAAATATTTTGTTAATGAGATTGTTAATGACTCTTGGCCAAATCTTCCTACATTTGCCCTTTGGACACAGATGACTGTCTAGACTGACACAGAGGAGGAGTGAGTGAGGTACACTTGTTTGACAGGAAAAGACAGCAGTGGTGTCTGAGCACAACTTAGCTGAAAATGATGATGCTTCCAAAGTCAGAAATGTGATGTGGAATGTCTGAGGTGACGTGGGAGCGAGGTTACTTAGAGTTTTGTAGGTGATGAGGAGAATTTTATACTGGATTCTGTGTTGGATAGGGGACCAATGGAGGTTTTGGAGGGCTGTAGGGATGTGGTCTCTGGTGCTGGAGTGAGTGAGACAGGAAGCTGTGATTTCAATTCAATTCAATTCAAAGAACTTTTTTTATCCCTGTAGGGCAATTTAGTGATAGTCATATCAAACAAGACAAAAATAACAATCAATCAAGCATTCAGAAAGCCTGTCAATGACATCATATGAGCATTTGGGATAATAATTTAGGCCCAGCAATCTAACTTAAGCCCAATTACAACATTCATATTCACAACGGACCACATGTCCTGTAACAGTTTTGTTGCAATATTAATGCCAATAAAATGTTTGTTTTATCACTACACATAAATCTACTTAAAAACATTCAAATACAAGTGAAACAAGGCTACGGCTACAAGAAGAAATACTTAAATGTATCATTTTTGTGCACTACTGGAGTGATAGTTTTGTACCTTATATTTTCTCACTCGACTTGTTTGGATCATCACCAGTGCGCCTTCCAGGCATCCAAGGGGTGCTCTCTCAAGTGGATGAAGTAGGCTATATTTTTCACAGTTTTTATTATTTGACTTATGACCAACCACCCCTTCTGGCCCCTCTCACCAGTGGTAAATATATAATTCTATATTTACAGTGTCCAGTTCAGCAGCTACATTATCAAAGTTGTTTTTAAGATTTTAAATGGGCACTGAGGTCAACCAGTCAGATGCCCCTTGATGTCCCCAGATCCAGGTTATAACATAAAGGTAACTGCTCCTAATCTCTGGAATATCTTACCTGTTCAATTAAGAAATAGTCGCAGTGCTGACAAGTCCTTGCTAAAGACCCACCTCTGTTCACTGGCCTTTCATATGCGCAATAAAGTCACAGCAAATATTGCTGGTCATTTAATCAGCAAAACAAAAGCAAACTCTGAACCATGCGTATGCACAAAAACTGGAGAATTGAGAAACTCAAAATATTACCTCTGAGTATAACAGACCAATAAAACATACTATAATTTAATAAAAGTTCATTTGCCAAACAGATGAAAGCCTTTTCGACTAAACAAACACCCGTTGGAGTTCCCTGGAGTGTCGAAAAGATTGTGGGCTGTAGGTGGTGTTGCATAAATACGGTAACCTCGAGTTAACCACGAACATAACCTGTTCGGAGCAGTTTAGAGATGCAGCGTAAATTGCCATGGCAACAGACCTCAGGTAACACCTATCCACCTTTCGTATTACGGGTTAATTGGGAAGTTCCACCCGACGTCACAACGTTACTCCTGAAGTTACCTGGATAAGCCAGTTACCTCGCTTTGTAGTACAGACCTGTGCTCCGGAGCAGATTATGTTCCATTTGAACAAAAAATACAATTAAAGATTCCTCCCTCCACTGAGGGGGCTAACCCAGACACTTGGTTCTGGACTCATAAGAGCCCAGACGTTATTCAACCCACTAGTTGAACAGTCTGCCACTGTCTGTTGGACTGGCTGTATAGCAGCGATCAGCTTACTGGATTTTGGCTCTTGGCCTGTAATCTCAGCAGGTAGAAGAAGAGAGTGCTGTGAAAAACCCAAGCCTTTTTAACCTACAGGCACTCAGTGGTAATCAGGCACTCCAGCTGCCACTGTCTTATGCAACGGGGGGGGGTCACCACCTGAGAGAGTAGCGAGAGGGGAGGAACACACATATGACCCTTGGATCATAACAAATATGAATTTATTTGACCCACCTTTTGCGATGTGGGTGCAGGTAATGAGGGGAGTTTCCACCATTATTTGAGCACATTTTATGGCATGAATGGATTTTTCATTTCGTTGCTTTATGAAGTTAATTTAGAACACTTTTAAGTTCGTTAAACACAATAATGTAATTTTTGAGGTTTCCAGAATTTCTTAAAAGTGAGTTGGAACGACTACTTATACTATTTGTGTAACTTTACAGTTTCCTCGTGGTTTGTAAAATATAATGCTCTGAAGCCAGTAGACTTGTTCATGTCTGCGATTGGTAATGTGCTGCTACTCACTGGATTGGGAAACACGGGGTTGACTTACTGAGTTGATAACCAGCTTTGTGTGACCGCTTATCCTGATCCCAATTGTTAGGGCTAGTGAAGAAGTTAGTAACACCTCTGACACACCCACCTAATGAGACAAAAAGATACCTCAAAGCCTGCTGTACACTGTTTCGAGGAAACATGTTGTTCAACTCAGACACCGTACCAAACTGGTGCAAAACGTTGTTATGTTAAACGTGCCCCATATTTAAATTTGACAGCAACAATATGATTGGCTGATAAAATGTGGTTGCAAATCCTGTTTGGTTAACTGAAAGTGGACACCCATCTCAGCTGATTAAGATAAACAGGAAGAAAGAGGGAGAGAGATGTGAATGAACATACCCTGAGCTTACTTTGATGTGAAACGAAGTTACACTGCAGAGCTGCAATCATTCGCACTATGATGAACTTCATCTTGACAACAGCTTTAATTATCTGCAGCATCAGTAAGTACTGTCAACACATTTCTCTCTACTTTGTTGCTTCTACAATTAAGACTTATTTTCTTATGTATAATTTATTCAGAGGTGTTGTTTACCTTCCTATAACACGCACATCTCTTGTTGTCTCTGCTGTTTGTTTCAGGCTGGATCTCTGTCTCAGTTTCTGAGTCTCAGACTGTGAAGGTCCAGCCTGGTCAAGAAGTCACACTGTCGAGTACCAACATTTCCAAACATTCAGGCATGACAACCTGGTTCAGAGTGGTCAACAGAACCAAGGCCAGCTGTATCTCCGTTATGGCCAAGGCTGACAGCAATCCTAAATACTTTGATGGAGTAGAAAATGGAAAATTTGAAATGAGCTCCAACACCTCCACTGTCTTTCTCAAAATTAAGACAGTGAATCTTTCTGACTCTGGGCTGTATTTGTGTGGATTTTACATAGAGGGACAGACAATTTTAAGTGTGATACATTTAAATGTTGAAGGTAAGATTATAAAATCCTGTGGTATCTGTTCTTCTGTTGTGTATTTCTATATTTGCAAGTTTAATAACTGACCTAAAACACATAGGTGGATATTTAATTAACTTCAAATCAAGCATAATAAAACCATTTAAAAGTAAAATCTAAATTAAATATATCTTCATTTTGTTAAAAGGCAGTGATGAATCTCATGATGACGTTGACAGAAAGTCTACAAGTAAGATTCTTTCATTTGGCTATTTAATCATTTTCAAAGAAGCGTGATAAAAAAACATTTCAAATTAAAAATGAGAAGAAAGTAAAAAGATCCTCTTTAAGATTTCTTTGTGCAGATTCACTTCTAGTCATTTTTAAGATAAAAACAGTACGGCTAACTTAACATTTGTCAGTTTAATGTTAGCACTTCTCAAGCCACTAAAGAGAAAATAGAGTCTAATATATTTTCTTTCTTTTAACAGAGAGTGATAGAATAGCAAACCTGATGAGTGTGATCCTGGGCGGCCTGACTGTTTTCCTCATAATGGTCATCATCTGTCTGGTTGTTAAAAACAGGAAACTTCAAAAAGGTACTGTTTGTATCTTGGGTTGGGTTTCTTGTTTTTTCACTTCCCTAAAATTGTGTGAATATGTTGAAAGAGTACAAATGTTCATGTTGGTCACCTGATTACAAATATTGTCTCCATCATTCAGCTGCCAACAAAGAACAGAATCCACAACAGCATGAGGTAAATTAAGTTTGATTGTTTACTATTACATATTTTAAATTGTTAAAGGTGGTTGGTTTTCTTAAATGTACAAATAATCAAATTAATCAACGTGATCCTTTAGTCTCATGAATCTCTCACTCTCTGTCTTTCTAACTCTAGAGAGACTGTCCACAAACACAATAGATAGATGGAGGTCTGCAGATGGAGGAGTGAGAGAGGCACACATCATTTGTTTAACAGGAAGAGACAGCAGAGTGGTCTGAACACAGCTGAGGTGAAAATCATGAGGTCACACATCTAAATCTGAATCAAGTCGGACAGTCGGCAGTGAATACTGGCTGACTTTCCTCTGTCAAGTAGATGTGGTGGGGAAAGATTCCCCAGGTGCAGGTTAAGGTGTGGTGGTGTTGAATGCAGCCTTGACTTAACTCCTCCCTGGCCAACCTCCTTATTAGGCTTAGGCTATATAAGACACCTGTGTTCCCTTTCTCTCTCTCTGCTTCTTGATCCGTCCCTGCTGTGGTTGTGGCCCAGTTATGTGAAAGGAATAGTTTCATGCATGTTTGTTTTCCCTTAACAGTTTATGTTGCTTACCTGCACTTTGTCCTGTTAGGAACGTCTCGGGTTACGTATGTAACCCTGGTTCCCCGAGAAGGGGAACGAGAGACTGCGTCGGTTACGACACTATGGGAACGCCTCTAGGCGAAGCAGGTCTGAACGTGAATGAAATCACTCCAATCCTATTGGCCTGTTGCTAGAACGGTAAGGTGTGACGGAATAACCGGAGGAGTATAAAGCACACCTGTACACACTCATCATTAGCTTAAACTATGAAGCAGGAGCTTCAGGCGGGGAGAGAGGTGCGGCGGACCGACGCAGTCTCTCGTTCCCCTTCTCGGGGAACCAGGGTTACATACGTAACCCGAGACGTTCCCCTTCGAGGGAACTCGAACTGCGTCGGTTACGACACTATGGGAACGAGATACCCACTAAACCGTGCCGAAAACCCCGCCTGCCCCTGTGTGCAATAAAGTGGCACTACTAAGAGGAGAGCGCACGAGTGCCAGGTGCCGAAGGAAGGTCAAGACTGTAAAACCGAATGAATGTGTGCGGAGTGGCCCAGCCAGCCGCTAAACAACATCCTGCAAGAGGCCCCGGAAAGGAGGGCTCGAGAGGCCGCCTTGCCTCTGGTAGAATGAGCCCTCACAGCCACAGGTGAAGGCAAACCGCGCACCTGATAGGCCAGGGAAATAGTCTGAACAATCCAGTTGCTAATAGTATGTTTGGATGCAGGGAGCCCGGCCCAGGGAGACCCAAAACACACTAGCAGCTGGTCAACCTTCCTCCAACGGGAGGACCTCAGAGTGTAATACTCAGTGCTCTGACAGGGCAGAGCAGATGAAGTCTCCCGTCCTCCGCCGTCACATGAGGTGGAGGATGAAATGCCTGCAGCACTGTGGACCCTGCCGCACAAGAAGGCACTTTAGGGATGTATCCTGAACGAGGGTGCAGGATAGCCCTAATATTCCCCGGGGCAAACTCCAGGCTTGCGGGGAAACCGAAAGCGCTTGGAGCTCCCCCACCCTCCTCAGAGAGGTGATAGCAAGGAGAAAGGCCATCTTGAGGGTCAAGTGCTTAGCCTCAGCTGACTCCAGGGGTTTGAAGGGGGCCTCAGCCAACGCCCCAAGAACCACTGCCAGATCCCAAGTGGGAACCTTGGACCGAGTCGCAGGTCTCATCCTCCGGGCACCACGGAGGAAAAGTACAACCAAGGGAAGTTTCCCCAAGAACCCCTCCCTCAGAGGGGTGTGGAAAGATGAAATAGCTGCCACGTACACCTTGAGGGTGGAAGGGGAAAGACCAGCAGAGAACCGGTCCTGGAGGAACTCAAGTACCTGAACCACCGGGCAGGTAACAGGGTCCACCGACCACTCCCTACACCAAGTGGAGAAAACACTCCACTTCAGGCCGTACATCCTCCGTGTGGACGGGGCCCTGGAGCTCAGGAGGGTCTCGACTGCTCCGGCTGTTAGACCCACCTTTAGGTACTGTGCCCCCTCAGGGGCCAGACCCACAGTCGCCATATGGCGGGGCAAGGGTGAAGAACCCGGCCCTGCGCCTGGGACAGCAGGTCTCTCCTCAGAGGGACCCGCCATGGCGGGCCGTCCAGGAGCGACATGATGTCCGAGAACCACACCCGGGTTGGCAAGAACGGGGCTACGAGCAGTAGGCCGACATTGTCCTGGCGGACCCGCTCCAGAATCCCGGGAGCAGAGCGACTGGGGGAAAAGCGTACAGACGTAGTATCGGCCACGAATGTACCATGGCGTCCAGACCCAACGGGGCTGGAGGAACGAGAGAAACCATAGCGGGCAGTGCGTAGTCTCTTGAGACGCAAACAGATCCACGTCTATGGGGCCGAACTCTTCGCACAAGAGCTCCACCACTTCGGGGTGAAGTCTCCATTTCCCGAGCCTCAGCCACTGTCTCGAGAGCAGGTCTGCTCCCTGATTCTGCGTCCCCGGAGATACATCGCCCTGGGCGATAGTAACCTCTGCTGGGACCACAGGAGGATCTGACGCGCCAGTCTGTTCAGAGGGCGCGAGCGCAGACCGCCCTGGTGATTCAGATAGGCCACCACCACTGTGTTGTTCTCGTCGGAACGAACCAGGACGTGGTGGCCTTGGAGATCGGGCAGGAAACTCCTTAGAGCCTGGAACACCGCCAACATCTCGAGACAGTTGATATGCCACTCGGATCGATGCACCTGCCAGGATCCCCTTGCAAAGCGGCCGTCCATGACCGCGCCCCAGCCCGTGAGGGAGGCGTCTGTCGAAAGAACCAGCCGGCGACAAGACCCTCCCAGCACGGGCCCCTGGGACAGGAACCAAGTTTCCTTCCAAACTGATAGGGAACGAAGACACTTGCGCGTAACCCAAACCAGACGGAGAGGATTCCCCTCGGGGAAAAACCCTTGTTCCTTAGCCACCACTGCAGGGGTCTCATGTGCAGCAGTCCAGATGGTATTACGCTGGACGCAGCCGCCAGGAGACCCAACACTCGTTGAAAGTGTTTCATAGTGATGGCGTGGCCTAACTTCACCCCTTTCACGGCAGCCAATATGGTGTCGACACGTGCCGGAGACAATTGTGCCCGCATCGTTGTCGAATCCCATGCAACCCCTAGGAACGTAGCCCGTTGGGTGGGCGCCAGCACGCTCTTCTTTGCGTTGAGCCTCAGCCCTAAACGCCGCAGACGAGCCAGAATGACATCTCGATGCCGAACCGCCAACTCTCGAGACTGGGCTAGGATGAGCCAGTCGTCGATGAAGTTGAAATCCGGATGCCCCGGAGCCTCAGCGGGGCCAGTGCTGCATCCATACACTTGGTGAATGTGCTAGGGGAAGTGCCAGGCCGAATGGAAGAACCCGATGCTGGTAAGCCACACCCCCGAAGGCAAACCTCAGGAACTTCCTGTGAGAAGGACGGATGGAGACCTGGAAATAGGCGTCCTTTAGATCTATCGTGACGAACCAATCCTCAGATTGGATGTGCGTCACGGTGGCGGGGATGATGAGCATCTTTAACCTGAATCTCCTCAGAGACCGGTTAGAACCCGCAGATCCAAAATAGGGCACGCAGCCCTCCGTCCTTCTTGGGGACTATGAAGTACCGGCTGTAGAACCGGCGTCTCTGTCTGGGGGGGAGACACGTTCCACGGCCCCTTTCCTCAGCAGAGTACAAACTTCCTGTCCCAACACCGGACCTTGCTCCAGGCGGACCACAGTCCAAACCACCCCCTCTCTTCTGTTCTCTGAATTTGGAGGGCGGGTTTTGAACTGTAGTCGATACCCATCTATGGCAGTGCGCAGGACCCGTGGAGAAATGTTCGTCAGGCTCCGCCAAGCGTCTGCAAAGTCTGCCAACGGAACCAGCCCCTCGGGGCTGGTGGTCGGTGTCTCGTTTGATCTTCTGGTGGACCCCTGAAGCCCCAGAACGGCAGGGGGGAGCCGCCGAAGATCCACGGTGAGTGAGTCGGGATGCCGTCCGCCTGCAGACCCTCGGGGCAGGCAGTACGGCGCGGACTCGATGGTGGCAGGTGCGTCCTGAACGTTTAAACGGCGGGATAACATCACCTGTTGCCACGGCGGAGGGGACCTCGGTCGGCCTCCGGGGGGGGGGGGGGGGTGCGGGAGGGGAGAAAGACTCTCCTACATCCGTCGGGACTGGATGACGGTCCTCAGATCGCGTCTCTCAGACGGCTGAGGGTGAGAGCGCCGTCTCGCTGCCCCAGCTCCTTGGGGGGGCCCCCGAGAAGCGACACTCTGCTTCCCTCCTCTCCGTAGGAGCTCGTAGAGGGAAGGGACCTACGCCTGGCAGCCTCAGCTGCCTTGGGTCCAGACCGGCGAGGGAGGTACTGGCGGAACGCTTCGCACTGCGTCTAACGCTTCGTGGTTCTGCGAAGCTCCGCCAGATCTTCCTCGGAGGGACCCCCCCTCTGAACCATCTCCTGTAGCAGGTTGGCTTGGTAGGCTTGAAGCACCGTGGTGTGCAAGCTCGCACCTGCCTGGCCCGCTGCCATGTACGCCTTCCCCACAAGCGTGGATGTGGTGCGACATGGTTTGGATGGTAACGCCGGCTTCTCCAGGGAGGACGCAAGTCAAGGGGAGAGATAGCTCGCAAGCTCATCCTCCACCCGAGGCATCCTCCCATAACCACGGTCCCTAACCCCCATCACATTACTGTAGTTCAGTGATCGGGGTGTGGAAAGCCATGTAGAGAAGGGTCTGCCCCATGATTTACTCAGTTCATCATGTAAATCAGGAAAGAATGGCAGAGACCGGCGTGGAGGTGGCGTGT